CTATTATATAAATTATTGCCACTTTATCAACATTATTTCTTTATTTTCTTACATTTTTGCTGTATGAAAATCCAAATTTTACTATTCATTGTTTAATGATGTAATATTGAGTAATTTTACTGCAATCTATAAAATTTACTGGTTAAATGAAATTTGTTATTATTTTGAGTATAAATAACAAAATAATCACATATTTAATTTCAATAGTTTTAAATGAATTTCTTAACAAGACAAGATTTTAACAAGAAAAAATTACATTTTACTAATATAACAATTACGACATAAGTTTATTAAAAATAATAAAGATTTTATTTGGTAATTATTTTTATAAATTAAATATAAGAATTTGAGAAATGATTACAGGTTTGTACACATATTTCCATTTATTGTTTTCCTTGTTTACATCAGTGTTTCTCAAACTTTTTGGTTTACGACCCCTTTTAAGGACGCCCCGAAGTATGGGTATGTGTAGAAAAACGTAGAAAAACATACTGTCTGTCGCGTCTATCATCAATTTTTCTGCGATCTACATTTTGAGAATATAATAATCTACATAATTGTACAGTATAATGTGTAGTTTATTTTAGTAATAATTATTAATAACAAAAATCGATTAATTTACTTTAGAAATATTTAAGTGGATGAATCTGGTTTATAAAATGGGAATTAAAACTTCAATTAAAATAAATTAAATGAATAAATAAATAATTGACTAATAAAAAGCCGAAAACGATGAATTATTTCTATTAAAATATTTATTATTATTAATTAAAATAATTAAATTAATAAATACATATAATTCTATATATATATATACAAAATAATAACATTATTAACTAACATTACGTAATTACAGATACATCATTAGAAGACACTTTGATGTGTAATCATAAAATATATAGAAAGTTTAAAACTTTGCCAGTCATTTTGAAAAAATTCTATAAAAATTAAAATATTTACTTCCCAAATTGAATACTTAATTTACTGTAAATGGAATAAAACCAATAGTAGGCATTTTGAAAAATTAGTAGTTTTATATGTAATGCATATCTCATGAGCTAATTAATGTGTGTAGTTATTGAATAATTTTAAAAAGTGAAGATATCCTATTTTCTCTTAAACTCGACATATTTCGATCATTAATTGTAATTTCATAATAGCAGTTACATTAAACGATGCACAATAGAAGATTTAAACAAAATATATAAAAAAATGTATATGAAAATTTGCAAGAATCTTCGGTGATGTTAGTCAGTTCCACATCAAGGGGGTTTGGATGAAAAGCCGTTATTGATAATGAACGCTGCGTTTACTTATATCTTCCTGTAGCAATTTAGAAATATTTCATAAATATTTCGATCATTTATGTTTATGAGAAAACTAAATATATTTATATACAATTAAGGTAACTAACTAAATTATGTTGTAATTCTGAGCGTGAGCATTATTTTTTCATCGTATATTTTTTTCATAAACGTTAATGTCGTTGTTTCAACTTTATTATGATTATAAGTAATTAAATTGTTGCGTTGTGTCCGGTCGTGTTGTTTTCAGTTATTCATATTTAATATTTTCAGTGCGCGTTCTGCTGTTGATAAATATGTTACGCATAATTGCTGCACCGCAATAAGGATTGTTATGAAATCATCGTCTGGGGAGGAATTACGCGCGGTTTTTTGCCGCCGTTTCGTCCTTGTTGCGACGGGTGGAAAGGGTTCGGAGAGGGAAGGTGGCGCCGCGTGATTTGATCCTAGTCTAAAGGGTTCGCGTTTCGAACTAAACTAGGTTGTGCACAACAGATACAGGGACGGTCGGACGCGATGGAAGCGGTGTCAAGGCTCCAAAACGCGCGCCGGCACCTGTTACGATCGCAACAAGAAACTTTGTTTTGCGGTGTTTTCGTCCTTTCCAATTGGAGAAGCTGTACATGTGTGTGTGTGTGTGTGAGAGACAGAGAGAGAGAGAAATAGTCTTTTCACCCTCACCCCTTTCGTCGGACCAAACCAAACCCCTTTTGCCGACGCCGAGCGACCGCTTCAAACCAACCCTCTGGCCCCTTGGCGGGAAAATCGATTTCACTTAATTAGATGCAGCTCGGGAAATATAAATGAGCCCTCCCTTCTCGACCGATGAGAACGATCAATAACATGATTAATTGTATTTTTGCTAAAATAAATAGCCCTCCAAATGGAAGAAAATAGAAGGGAGCAAATAAATGGGTTGGTCGAAAAGTTTGTCCGAGTGGGTGGAATACGCTTTTCTTTATTCGTTTTATTGGATACACAAAAAAAATATTTTTTTTATTTTCTGTACGATAATTGAGGCAGGAGACAAATTGTATTAGAATTTATTACCAATACTTTTTTTTTACAGAAAATTAACATCTTTTTAGATAATTATAATGAGAACATTTACAATTTAATTTCCATTGATTTTTTTTAATAATATAATACTTATAAAAAAAATGAAATTAATATAATTATGAGTAACAAGTCAAAATGTATAATTTTCTGTATTGTTTTCAGTAAAAATGTATAATGGTGCGTCCACACTACAGAACTTAACAATAATCAATTTATTATTGTCTTTTTAAACGTCAAAATTGTATACATCAGTAAGGTGTCAAAATGACTAATATACAGTAAGACCTTGTTTAGCGGTTAGCACGAATTCCAAAATAAGAAACGCTAAACGACACGAGGTTGAACGATGTCACATTAATATATTAAATCAAATCAGCGTAAGTCGAGGAAACGCTAAACGAGGTCTCATTGTATATAAATAAACATACGAAATTATTGTATGTTCTAAATATTTAGCTTTAAAGATTAAAAGTATTATTTTCTATAATAATTTCATTTCTTATTGAAAAAAGTAATAGTGTGTACATATCTTTATATTATCTTTGTTTTAAAATGTTGCTTTATGTTTTTTTTAATTGGAACACATGAAAATAATTATCAAATCATAACTATATAAAAGTATTGACTGTTTCAATATTTAATTGATTTTGACAGATGAATGTCAAAATTTAAACTGACAGAAATATTATTATTTCAAATGTGTATGTCTAAAGCAATTATTTTCTTAAGATCAAAGCCAGAAGTGGGACAAAAATTTGATGAAGAAGTAAAAAACGGAATCGATTAATTTTGACTAACTATAACTGTCAATTTCATTTAATTGATGAATCATTATTCTTGTTGAACTTGAAGATAAACTGAGAAGTAAAATGTTCATTTATTTTATATGTCTTTTACTGCCATACAATTAAATCATAAGTATATAAAAGTATTGACAATGTAATTGATTTTGACAGATGAAAGTCAAAAATTAAATTGACAGAAATGTCAATTTAATTTCATCAAGATTTATTGAAAAACTGTTTTTTCTCTTTATTATTATTTTATGTATTAATTGCGTCATTTTTTGTATTTAAAAATGTGTCATTTTATTGAGATCAAAGTCTAAAGTGGGACATAAATTTGATGAAGAAGTAAAAACAGAATCGATTAATTTTAAATTATTATTACTCTCAATTTCATTGAATTTATAAATAATTATTGAATTTTAACTTGAGCATAAACTGAGAAGTAAAAAGAAATTATTTGAAAAGAAAAAAAAAATGAACGGAAGAGAAGAATGTTAATTTCGAAATTCCGGCAAAGACAATTAGAAAATTTCGCCGTCGTCGTCTCTCGTGCATATTAATTCTGGATGTATTAAAGAACGCATTGATCATAATCTTAATTGAGGACCGCATTAAGGACGGAGCTGCAAAGAAGCCAAAGGCAAATGAAAATAAGGACGACACGCACACAAATATATCTGAAGATGGAGATGGAAGATTGATCATTTTTTGAAGAGGAGGATAGAAAGAAGAAGAGGGCACTTAATTTCCGTCTGCTGATGATTACAATAATAATAATCATAATATCGAATATACGTATATTTTTCAATGCATAAAATTACGGCTTAATTGCGAGGTTGTGCACGGTGAGCTGCGTACATTTTAATTTACCCCATTATTCTTCAGTTCGGATGTCGTCTTTATTCATTCGAGTTGCATTCAACGTTAACATGTATACGAATTTGAAAAGAAGATAATAAAGTATTGAATTATGGTTGTAATCACAAAATTACATATAAATATCAAAATATTGTCGTTAATGGTTAATTTGGATCGAAGCTTGATTACTATTTTTAATTTGCATCAAAATTAAGAATAATTAATCTGGTTTTATAAAACTAGAACAACAAGTCTAAATAGTATTCATGCATATTGGTATCACGTGAAGCAAATGTAATTACCTAATGCTGTATACAAACTATATCGTGAAACGTATGTACTTAATGATATGGCACATGTGTGCTTAGCTAATGTTGTATCCAATCTATTTCATTGAACATGTGTACTCATCTAATGCTGTATCCAAACTATCACATGAAACATGCGTACTTTCCGATATTGGAAATGTCGGGATTTTAACACTGCATTATGGTTGTCGAGATTTTCACTATATCGGGAATTTGATTGACAGGAATTTGATTGTCGGGATTTCGTTATAGACCTATATGGAACACATGTAGTCACCTAATACTGTATTCAAACTATAAAATGAAACATGTATACTTACCTAATGCTGTTTCCATACTATATCATGGAACATGTGTTCATTATATTTGTTGATGTCATATTGACATTTATTTAACTTGTGACAGTCTATGTAAAATTGTTACTGTCAGTTCACTGTCATTGATCTTCAAAAAAACATTAATTAATGCCAACTGAACTTTAAAAAAAGTTAACTATATTACGTATTTTCTATTACGTCTGATAACTAGAACTATGCAAATTTTGTTTGCTACATCTAGTTTTTAATATGTAATTTGCTGTAACCAAAGTGGTCTTTGTCCAAATTTATCAAAGTTGATGATGATGAAAGCATTTGCGTTTTTTGGGATTATATTAAAGATTTCGTTGTTTGTTTGTTTTCCAGGAGAGCGATCGCGAGAGCAGCGTCGGATCCCCGGAGCCGGCGTCCACGATGGGAGTGGACGGGAGCACGGATTTACACATGGGTGGCCAAAAGGTCCATTGCAATAGGGCGGACGAGCCCACGGACACGAAGCTACCGCCGCCGCCGTCTCCCGCAACCTCCGCAGCAGCGGCAGCAGCAGCCGCCGCGACCGCAGCCCATCTTAATGGCACAAGTATGATCATCAAGTCCATCAAATGGGACAACTCTTCGGAGATAAACAAAAAAAAAAGATAACGGAACCGACTAACATTTAGACCCGAACTCGTTTCTAGGTGACCTGGTCGCTGGCCTGGTGACGCTTCAGAACCTCCAGAATCTGGCCTCGCTGCAGCAGTCGTTGCCGCAGGTCGCCTCCCTTGCGGCCGGTCTTCAGAGCATGGCCAACCTTTCGGGAAATTCCGCAGCAGCCGCTGCCGCCGCCGCCATAAATGCACCCCTGAATCTCAGTGTGGGAGCCTCAGGTAAATTACAATGCCGGACTTAACAACGCGCGCTCCAGGTTTCAGATTAACCTCTCTCCGTTTTACCCGTAAGATAATAAATGCGAACCTAGGCCAACGTGTCTTTAGTTGATATTACCATTTTATTACATGCCACAAAAGCATTTAATTAAAACTCTTAAAACATGCCATGTTCCTAAAGCCATAATGTTTTAATTTGCAGAGTATAACATATTATTAACTGAAATTTGATTAATGTACTTGAATATTAAATATACAAATATTTACTATGAACCTAAATACTTTCCATTACTTTGAGTGTCGTCATTGATATATGAGGAAGGATTAGGTATGGAATTATATTAAAATAGGACATTTAAACTAATCAGGGAAGTTCATTAATACATAAACTACGTTATATCAAGGACTAATTCAAATATATGATTTATGGTTGTTCTGGATTTTCATTTGTTGATGAGATGAATGTGGAAATTGTAAGGGTGTATTATCCGGTGTGGGTGAGGGAAGTTTTGTTTCGAACGATATTTATGTAGGAATTATTTATAATGCGTTTGGGGGGAGGGTTAGAAGGGATGGCGTTTGAGAGGCCCGACGGAAAAGGTGTAAAGGTGTAGGAAAGTGAATATATTTTGGTGGGCTTAATTCGAGTTCCGTGTAGGAAGCGGGCGAGAAAAGTGTTGATGTATGTTTTCGCCGGAGCTCCGAAAGGGCTGATCAGGGTAGAACGCCGAGTGCGAGGGATTAGCATATGTAAATTTGGCGGGCATACGTTTGAGGTATTATTAGGACGAAAATTTGATTGCAAGTATACATCTATATATCCCTCTCTTACATATATATGTATATATATAGACACGTATATTGCGTTACGTTAAAGGTTTTTCCCTTCGTTCCCCAACAGCAAACCCAATTAGATATTCTAGACAAAGGGCTTTTGTGTTTGCAGCTACGACTCCAAGAAGTACTCAGAACACAAGCAGCGCGGAGCAGGGATCCCTTGGCATGTCCAGCAACGTAAATAGCCAACAGCAACAACAGCAGCAGCAACAACAACAACAACATGCCGTCTCGTCCATCCCGCAGTCGCCTTTGCTAACGTCCCAGCAGCCCGCGCCGATGCCGCAGTTCATCCTCGCCTCTGGACAACTCGTGCAAGGAATCCAAGGAGCGCAACTCCTCATACCCACATCTCAAGGTAAAAAAAAAAGAAGAACAATCACGAGCTGCAGATCTAAGGGCGTCTTCTATACAATAACGATCCGCAGGTTTAGCTACGCAGACAATCCTCACCATCCCCGTGAACCATGTAAATAGTAGCGATCAGATGGTCAATCTAGCTTTAAACAATGGCCAGGTGGTGCAAACTTCCCTGGCGAATCTTCAGGCGATGGCGCAGGGTCAGAACAACCTTCTCAACACAGCCAATCCAACAAGTAATTTTTTTCATCCTCAACATAATAATTTTGAAGTTAACGATGTCTTGATCAATCTTTCAGTACCGACGTCGAATGGCAATGCCAGCAGCATAGCCCAGTCCCTCCTCAATCCGGCGACTTTGAGCCACCTGCTGACCAATGGTTCTGCCCAGCAGCTCTTGCAGTCTCTACCTCAGCTCTTGAGTAACGGACATCCTGCAGCGCCGCCGCCTCTGCTGAACCCTCTTACGCAACCCCTTCTCACCACCCCGTCTACGCTCCTCTCGACGTCGCTGACGCAGTCACCAACTACTCAATCCCATCGGAACCAACAGCACACCATCCAGACTCAGCTAAATCCCAACCATTATCCGGAGAGCAAACTGCATCAGCCTTCGAGTCTGAGCGGTCGGACGACTTCTTCGCCCTCGCCTAGCGCCAATCTCAACCGGATCAGCACCACCAACGGCGAGCTGACCATCACTACTTCCCTCGCTCCAAACTCTAGTCAGAATCTGAAGAGGTCACCCTCACTCTCGCCCAGCTGCAACGACAGTTCGACGGCCGATCTTCTGATCGATTCACCAAGTAAGTTTCCTACACTCAATACTGGGTGCAGCATCAGATTCTTCTTTAGATTTGTCGCAGCGGCCCCCATTTTCAATCGCCTTAACAAATTGATCAATCTCTTCATATCTTTGGAAATACTGGGTGGACAAACTACTTTTACTTGAGGAAAGTCACATAGCCTGTTCTTACTATAATAATTGTTAAAGTATAATTGACAAGTTACTTACCAATTTGTTCGTTGCTTACTTAATTAGTCGGTAATAATTTTAATAAATGTATTTGTCCAAGTAATTAACTAATATCACTTAGTGTTAATTCTTTTGAATGACTGTAAAGAGTCAAGTAAAATAAACGTTATAATATTTTATTAATCATAAGTACTTGGCAAGTACTTGAAAATGAAAGTATCAAAAGACAATAAACCAACAAAGTAAAAAATTGCAAAGTTAATTATTGTCCACTCTGTAGACGCACGCTTCCAAATGACTATTTAATTGTTATTAATGCCCTTTACGTAATTTAATTAATTGTCAATTAAGGAAATTACCTGCGTTTTTTATATCATTATTATTATTTTTTTGTAATTTCATTCTGTTCTTTCTTCTTTCACGATCGTAATAATAATTATTATTGCCGCTGCTTCGGCTAATTACCCATTTTCATTAAGCCTCGGAAATTAAAAATATTTATTCCAATTTATTTTTATATATATTTTTTAATTCGTGTACATGTTATTGTTCTCGATTTGATCTTAATTTCTCTTTAATTTGCTCTATCTTCATCTCTCTCTCTCTCTTTTATCTCTTTGCAATTGCAAAAAAAAATTATATTTACATGACTCTCATTCTGTCCTTGTTTTCGCTGCGAAATCCAGACCAGCCGACCATAAACCAAACGAACAGCAACGTCGTGGACGGCATAAACCTAGACGAAATCAAAGACTTTGCCAAAGCTTTCAAACTGAGGAGGCTTTCCTTGGGGTTGACACAGACCCAGGTGGGACAGGCTCTGAGCGTCACCGAGGGTCCGGCCTACAGCCAAAGCGCAATCTGCAGGTAAAATACAAACATCACGAACATTTGTAGAATTCCTCTTGTTTATTTTTGTCTGAAGTTTCATTCAATAAAAAATGCGTTTAAAAAATTGTTAAATTACAACAAAAAGAGACAATGATTGAATAAAACGGAGCGCGCCTAAGTAACCTAAGGGGCAAAATGGAAAGGCATTTCCCTCTGACTTCTTTTGAGTAACTGCTTGGTTTGTTCCCAGTGCCCTGGCCTCTCAGATGTTTGCCGCCGCGCAGCTTTCCTCTCAACAGCAAGCAATGTATGTAGCTATGAAATCACCCCAGTTTTTTTTTTATTACTACCACCACTATTTTATTATTTTTTTTATTTTTTTTATTATTATTTATCTCTTTCCTTCCCTATTTCTTACAACTACGTACTCTTCTCTTCGTTACAATTGTTACTTTTGTTTACTATTGTTAACCTTTGGCACTTTCTATCTTACTTTCTCTCTCTCTCTTTAACTATCTATTTCTCGATCTATCTATCTCTCGATTTGTGTTGAAATTGTGGAGCCAGGGCACTGGCACATGTGTGGTCCGCGGAAGCAAGAAAAAGCAGTTTACTAGGTGCGCATTTTCATTACTGTCAGTGTCCTGTGCCTCCACGCGTTGGCCAAATGGTCAAAAAAATAATGGTCATCAGCCACGGCTTAATCATGTCTAATACATTGGTATATTATTGGTGTTTAGGTTTGAGAAACTGGACATCACTCCGAAGAGCGCGCAGAAGATCAAACCGGTGCTCGAGAGATGGATGAAAGAAGCTGAGGATAGGTTAGTAAATTTATTTTAATTTTAAATTATGTACGTATCATCGGACGTACCTTATATGTATGTACTTTAAGTGAACAACCAAAATATATGATATGGTAGAGTTTCTTATTAACAAAAATAATAATTTTGGAGATACACTTGGTTCTCTTTTTATGCGGTAGATACGTTCCACAGGAAAACGCATAAAAATAAATCGCAAAAAAAAGGACTAGAGACACGTATAAAAATAAAGGATACGTTCCATAATTTTGAAAAACCGCATAAAACTAAATCAGTGAGTTACAATATACCGAAAATCGCATAAAAAAGGGTTTATTAAATTTCAGAAAAATAATTAGTCTTACTATATTTCTGAAATTTTTATTCATAATTTTATGAAAACGTTAACAATCATAGACAAGTTTATTAAATTTCAGAAAAATATAATTTTAACATATTCCATCTAAATTTATACGGAAAAATTTTATAAAAAAAAATACAGAAAATTTGGATGAAAGTTAATCTTTCTTCACATTTTTTTCTTTAGAATTATCGCTATATGAGAGTGTTCGGAATAATTTGCGAACTGGTTCGAAATCACTTTCATCACTAGAAGAGATAGTCAGCATATCAGATCTATGTCCTGAAGATAATGATTCTTCACAAGTAAAATTAGTCTCAATTTCGCATGTTGATTTTTTCCCTTTGACAATATAATTATCAATTATCAGTGATTAAACTTTGCGATGGCTTTGATATTTTTTGTACAATTCCTGATATCCAGAAATGCAATTCTGAAGCTTGTACCTTGAAACTTGAATGCTCGTTGAGAATTATCATCTTTTTCGATGAAATGGTTTGCCAATTTGTGTCAAAACGTGTCAAAACGTGTCAAAATGGCCTAAAAGAGTTATTTAAAAAATTGCTTCTTGAAATAAAAACCGCATAACTTCAAAACCGCATAAAAAGAGTACGCATAAAAAGAGGACCGATTGTAGTATAAATTTTACATTTCT